TGTCCTGCCCAATCTCTAGAGTGCCCTGGATTCCACTCCATTACGAAGATAAAAATGAACTCACCCTTGGGCTCCTTCGAGGTGTGTGGACAGGCGGGATCTGTGGAGACAATAATGATAACATAGCCACCCCCAATTTTGGCTCCCAACCCACAACCCCTCTCTCAGTCCTCACCTCTACAGGTTGGGCTACGATCTTCTTCAAAACGATGGGCTTTCTGACTGGAGCCGCATGCGGTGCCTAGAAAAGAAGAGTGAATATGAACTCCACATTAGTCCAACGCCTTCCGGGGCAGAAACTGAGAAAGCCGGGGCTCACCTTGGGCCAGATTTCAGGGAGGGTGCTCGGGAGATCAGGGCCTGATTTCCGCTGGGACCTCCGCAGAGACTGAGTAGGAGATGGGGCCCCGGGCCCTGAGAAAAGAAAAAAGTTAGGAGGTAGGGCAAGACTCCAGGCCTCAGAGTCTAGAGAACAGATTCAGGAGTGAGCGAGAGGTTCCCAAACAAGCTCCTTTCCGGGGCAGTGAGCCTCCTACAGCGGTGGGGGGAGGGCCTCCTCGCGGGACGCCGTCCCTCAAACGGCTAGGCCCCAGGCTCCCGCGCGCCCTCCGCTCACCAGAGCGCTGGGCGGACCCTCCGGACCTCGTTCGCCTCTCGGACATGTTAGCCTTGGTCTCGATCTCGGCCGCCGCCTCAGCCGCCGCCGCCGCCGCCGGGCCTCGCGCCAACCCGGAGGGCCGACGGAAACCTAAACGTTCGAATTACCCGCTCTGCCTGGAGGAAGCGGAAGTGACGCGAGGGGGGCGGGCCGCCGTGTTCCGTTCACCGTTCGTCGATCTTCACGTCTGGCGTCACCAGGGGCGGGGCCAGCGGCACGCTGGCGTCATCAGAGCGCGCCGCACCCGGAAGAGACGTGGCAGCAGAGGGATAATCGGAGCGGCCCGAGGTAGAGAGCGCGGAGCGGGAGCTCCGGTGAGCCCGGTGTCTGTTCTTCCGCGCGTCGGGCCAGGGCTCGCGCCCGTCGGGACCGGTGCGGCGGTCGATCGGTAAACACGGAGAGAGGGGTATGTGTTGAAGGTGGGGGCGGGGCTTGGAGGGGGTGGGGCTCAGGCGGAGCCCCTGGGGGCGGGGCCGGTGGTTTCGGAGACTCGCTGGTGGAGGGACATGGCTGGGGGCGGGATCCAGGAGGAATGACAGGTCACCGCAGGTGGGATTCGTTCGGGGGGCGTGGCCCGGAATGTAGAGGGGCAGTGGGCAGTAATTGGGGGTTGGGGCGATTATGAGAGGTGTTTAGGGGAGTTAAGAGTGGAAACGATCTGGGCTTGTGAGTTCGTAGTGGCGGACACCGGAACCTGGCTGTCAACTCGGACCTCTTCTTCCTCAGGGTCGAATATGGGACTTTGCAAGTGCCCCAAGAGGAAGGTCACCAATCTGTTTTGCTTCGAACATCGGGTCAACGTCTGCGAGCACTGCCTGGTAGCCAATCACGCCAAGGTGGGGCTTTCAGGGCAGGGGCTGAGCAGGGCAGTAGGTGGGCAGGCGGTATTGGTTTTCTCCAACTCCATGAAGGGCCAGGGGTTGGAATGAAGCCCTCCTGGAGCTTTTGTGCTCGGCTCTATCTCCGGAGAGCCCTTAAGGCAGACTCTGGCACACTGTGTGCTCAGTAAATATTTATTGATGGAAAAACGAAAGGATGAGTCTCCTCTGTACAAAAAAGCAGCTGGGCCTTGAGGAGATGGGCCCCTGTTGTGATCTCTCTCTCCCGCTCCAGTGCATCGTCCAGTCCTATCTGCAATGGCTCCAAGATAGCGACTACAATCCGAATTGCCGTCTGTGCAACATACCCCTCGCCAACCGGGAGACGACCCGCCTCGTCTGTTATGGTGAGGCCTGCCCAGCTTGGTGACCAGTTTCCAGGTCCTCTCTAAGCAGCAGGGCAATGAGATCTCCCAAAGCTAGGGAGGCTGGAGCCCCAAATTCTAGTCCTGCTATGTTATTTACCTGCTGTGTGAGCTCAGGCAAGTCATTTTTTTCTTTCTAGGCCTCCGTCTTTTTCCCTAAAAATTAAAGCTCCTGGTTTCTTACCTGCCCATTTTGAGGGTTGGGTGAGAGCCAGTCCAACTTGTGTCTATCATTTTGACTGTGAGCAGTAGCTGGCTGGACCAGCAGGAAGCTGAAGGGATGAGGCTTTTCGACATTTAGGATCTGTTACTCATTCCAATTAAACAGGAAGGGAGTTTCTCCAGTACATTCAGCCAGAAGAAGTCAGCAGTCACATGTATCATGACCTTGAGCTGACTGTGGTGTAAGAGGCTTAACTCCCATTTTTTGAAGGAGCTAGTGCAAAAGAGCTTCGTGTGTGTTTCTCAGTGTGATGAGCGTGTGTGTATATATACATGAATTTAATGTGTCTTATGACTTTACGTGTGTTAATTAGTGCCTTTAGTACCTGCGGATGAGTGAATGGGTAAATGTGCGTGAATGTATGAACATGGGTGTGTTGTGGGGTTGCAGGAGAATGTGTGGGTGACAGCGCTTGAGTTTTAGCAAATGTGAATGTATAGATGTGTATATGTGGGAGTTAGTGATGATACAGGGGATGGTACTTGTGTTTGATTATATGTATATGAGCATGTGTACATTTGTGCCCATAGGTGTGTACATGCATATGTGTGCCTGTGTGCGTCTAGGAACTTTTTCTGAAACTGTTCTTAACTAGCTGTTAGCCCGAGGAGCTTGTGATGAGTGCATGTTCAGCGAGGACTCGCTTTTAAGGGTCGCTGGCATCTTCTTCCCACCCTAGGGGGCTTCTCCCTTTTACTGCGCCGGGGTAGCATCTGCCGTGACTGAGTTCAGGTGGTGGTGGCCAAGAAGGCCGAAGTCTCAGGGAACACTGATGAAATGGACCTGAGTGAGGACAGGAAGGAGAAGGCTGTGGGCTATATGTGTGTGTGTGTGTATACATCCATGTAGCAGGCAGGGGGCTGTTGCTGGGCTAGACGTCCTAAGTGTCTTCTTCTTCATGCCTCTCATCCCCTATTTCATGGGCCCTAAGACCTCTTCCACTGGGCCTGCCTCAATGAACGTGCTGCCCAGCTGCCCCGAAACACAGCTCCTGCTGGCTACCAGTGCCCCACCTGCAGTGGCCCCATCTTCCCCCCAACCAACCTGGCTGGCCCTGTGGCTTCTGCACTGAGGGAGAAGCTGGCCACGGTCAACTGGGCCCGGGCAGGACTGGGCCTTCCTCTGGTGAGAATCTGTCTGTCTGTCTGTCTGACTGACCATCTGCCCTGAGTCCCACCTGGGCCAGATGGGTGGGGAGGGACAGCACCGGGCAGTCTGGTAATACAGGTTCCTTCCGCCAGATCGATGAGGTGGTGAGCCCGGAACCCGAGCCTCTCAACACCTCTGACTTCTCTGACTGGTCTAGCTTTACTGGTAAGTGGTGGTCTGCACTGCCCTTGGGGGCCCTTGCCTCCCTGCTCTGCTGACCACTCTCTTCTTGCCACAGCCAATGGTACCCCTGAACAGGAGGAGATAACCAGTGCTTCCGCTGCCCCATCCTTCTACAGCCAAGTCCCCCGGCCCCCTGCTTCCCCGAGCCGACCCGAGCAGCACACAGTGATCCACATGGGCAATCCTGAGCCCTTGACTCACGGTGAGCCAGGGAATGGTCCAGTCTAGAGGAGGATAGAAAGGAAGTGGGGTGGCTCGCGTGGGGGGAGCTCAGGGTTCCAGAGGCCCACCCGGGGGGCCCCCTCCTCACTCTAACAGAGACATTACCTCCCCACAATTCTGAGATGGTCTGTCGGGCTGAGAGGGCAAGGACCTCCTGCCCTCCCCACTCCCCACCCTGCCGCAGGCCAGTTTCTCTGAGCCTGTGGATACCGGTGGCTCTGCCCCTGCAGCCTCAGCCCCGAGGAAGGTGTATGACACACGGGATGATGACCGTTCACCAGGCCTCCACGGGGATTGTGATGACGACAAGTACCGTCGCCGGCCTGCCCTGGGCTGGCTGGCCCAGCTGCTCAGGTATTCATGGTCAGGTGGGCCCGGATGCCAGGAGCGGGGAGGAGAGGAAGTGAGAGCCAGAGGCCCTGGGCATGATGATTGCATGATAGATAAGAGGGGCTTCGTCTGGGTAACAGTAGTCCCTGGGGTCTGGCTATGCAGAGAGGCTTCAGCTCGGCCCTAGAAGTCTGCTCCACTGTAGGGCTGTTTCCTCGCCTGCTAGGTATCTGAGGCTTGAGGTTGGGCTCTTTGAGGCCCGTTCCTGCTCCGACACCACCAGAGCCTAGTGACCCTGCCGTGCCTGACACATCCTAGTTGCCTCAGCTGGTTTGAGCTGCACGGTCCCCTGTGTAACGAGCAGGTGCAGGGATGAGCCTGCACACCGGAAGCAGCAAGGCTCAGGAATGGCGGCACCAGGGCCAGAAGACAAGTGTCGTGTCTGGGGTTCCTCTCCAGGCCGAGGGGCTGTCAGGGATTGAGAACCTGACCTGACTCTCCCCTCGTCCCCCGCAGGAGCCGGGCTGGGTCTCGTAAGCGGCCGCTGACACTGCTGCAGCGGGCGGGGCTTCTGCTGCTCCTGGGGCTCCTGGGCTTCTTGGCCCTCCTCGCGCTCATGTCTCGCCTGGGCCGAGCTGCAGCTGACAGCGATCCCAACCTGGACCCACTCATGAACCCTCACATCCGGGTGGGTCCCTCCTGAGCCTTTGCTTGTAGCCAGGCCAGCCTAGGACCCGGGGGCCTGAGGTAGGGAGGCCTGGGGACTTTTTCTCTGCTCCTCTTTTTCATGCCTGAGACACTAAGATCCCAGGCCCAGTCAAGTCCACTAGAGTGGCTGCTGGCTGGGCCTGGGGCCCCTGCAGGTCAAACGTTTGTCTTGACCCACTTACCCTGGGTCTCCAGCCTCCCGCCCTCCTCCCCACGAAGGAGATGACAGGTGAAAATAAATGACAGACTTTATTAAAACACCGAAGCCTCCTTTTCCTTCCCCCTTCTCAGCCCAGTCCTCAGGCCTCAGTGGTTCTCCTGACGGTACTGGATGGCCAGAAACTCAAGGGACAGGCGGTTGAAGAACATGGCTCCATTTAGCACTGAGCAGAGGAGGGAGCCCCTATCAGCATTCCCTGCCCACTCTCTGCCATGTCTCCGGGATCCAAAGCTCCCCCTCCCCCTTAGCAGGACCCTCTCCCCAACTCACTCAGGATGGTTAGGGCAAAGCACCGAAGAAACTTGTCATCTGTCATCTCAGCGTAGAGTGACCCCATGGCAGCCCAGCAGATGCTCATCACCTGGGAGAACTGTAGGCCCCATCCAGTGGGAGAGTGGCCCCCTGAGACAACAGCGGGGTTTCCATCAGCCCCTGGGCCTCCCCCGACCAGCCCTTGAGCCCCGGCCCCAGTCTACCATCAGGACAACTGTGTAGTGGAAGCTCATGCGGTCGTAGCGGTGGGTGATGCAGAAGTTGTGCACGTCGCTGGCAAAGACCCCAAGGTGTATGAGGAAGAGCATCAGGGCAGCTGCAGTGAGCACCATGCCTTGTGGGAAGAAGAGCACAGCCAGCCGGTCCCGCCACCGCATTGTGGTGGCTGCACAGACTCAAGGCCAACGGTGGAAGCTGAGCAAGCCAGCACTGTTCAGGAGAAGCAGCTGACCCCTCCGGTTCTAGAGCGTACGGTCTGGAATCGCAGTGGGATGCTAGAACCACGAGGACATAGGAGGGGACGAGATTCTAGAATACAGGCTGGTTCCAGCCAATACAGGAGTGGTTCATGGGGGCGCCAGGGGAGTTCCAAATTATGGAAGGTCGGATGGAGGGCTGAAGGTACAGACCAGCAGGAGTGTTGAGGAAGGGACAGTGTCCCTTATCATCCTGCCTGCATGCACACTTTGCGTTCTTGTGCACATCTTCTCACTGAGTCGACCCCCCACGCCCCCGCCTCCTACCTACCACAGAGGAGGCACTGTGGGCACATTTCTACAGAGCCGGGTCTCAGAAAAGTGGAAGGGCATGTCCTAGGTCCACAGCAAGTCTTAGGCCAACGAGAGATGAAGCTCTGGATGTGTAGCTGGTGGGCATTCCCAGGTGAGGAGGCCTGGGCTGAATGACAAGCTCCAAGTATTTATAGCTCCGTTCCCGGATGGGGAGGAACAAAGTGAAGGGAAGCGATAAGAGCTTGCCCAGAGCTGTCCTGGGACCTTCCCCATGCCCTCCCTAGGGATGGCCCAGACAGCAGTGGACTTTTCCATCCTCCCCAAAATGTCCGAGGACCTGATGCTGACCAGCTTTCTCCTGTGCCACCTTTAAGCACTCAGCACTTCACAGCCATCACCTCTGTCCTTTCCAAGAGTCCCAGATGAGGCTGGTGGCATAAATCCTGTTTTGCACACAAGTCCGAGGTACAGAGGAAGTGTCAGCCCAGGTGCTCACAGCCAATGAATGAGGGAGTCAGTACTAAGATTCAGTTCTACCCGAGGCTGTGACTGGGCAGGGACACTTACAAGCAACAAGAAAACATTTCCTCCATACGTGGGAGAGGTGAAAACTCTAGGACTCTCAGCAGGATCACCCACAAAAATGGGCAGAAATGGTGTGGAGGGACATGAAAGCTTCCAGGAACTAGACTAGAAGAAGGATAACTTGAACTCAGCCACCCCCATGGCCTCCTTTCTGTCTGCCTGCCCCAGAAGTTAGGTTCAAGGTCCGGCCAAGACCCTCGGTCTCCCGCCACATCCATGTTTACTGTCTAGTGTCATTAATCACAACAGTCCCTCAGACCCCCATTCTGACACAGTACAGGGGTGACACCCCCCATGCCAGCCGTTGGCCCACTGTTGAAACCATTGTTCGCACCTCCGTTCTCATGTGAATACAGATGAACTTTCATTAGACGTTAGGGCTTCTGGCTCAACACCATTTAAAAATTACCCAAGTAGCACATGACTGTATTCTTGTAAAAGATGTGTGTAATACACAGCATACAGAGGAAAAGGCAATGACAGCATGACAGCCCCCCCCCCAGCCTCCTACCTACCTAACAGAGGTAACCCCCTCAACAGTTTGGTGAGTGGGCATCTTTTGGGTCCCTTCTTGATGTAACTTCATGTACCTACATGTACACCTACATGGATAATTTAAAAAAGCATTCTAAAGAATCACCAAATGTATTGTCAGAGTATAATTTTCAAAAAGTTAAGAATATGATGCTAGATCTGGAATGAACATGTAACTAAGATGTATAAACCCAGCAGTGAGGGGTTCCCCCTCAGTAAGGTGGTAATGCGTCTTGGGGACCTGGATATGGACAGGCATTTAAAGAGGAATATTAGAGGGGCACCTGGCTGGCTCAGTCGGTTAGGCGGCTGCCTTCAGCTCAGGTCTTGATCTCAGGGTCTTGGGATCTAGCCCCCTGTCGGGCTCCCTGCTCAGTGGGGAGTCTGCTTCTCCCTCTCCTTCTTGTGTTCTTGCCCTCACTCTTGCTCTCTCTCGAGTAAATAAATAAAATCTTAAAAAAAATAAAGAATGTTAGAGTATGATTCTAGGTTAGATACAAAACTGGTTGATGTCCTACAGGACAATAAGAAATAGAACTTTTTAAGTTCTTTTTTCTTTTTGTTAAGACTTTATTTGAGAGAGAGAGCGCGCACAAGCAGGGGGAACTGCAGAAGGAGAGGGAAAAGTAGCCTCTCCGCTGAACGGGGGAGCCCAATGTGGGGCTCAATCCCAGGACCCTGGGATCATGACGTGAGCTGAAGGCAGATGCTTAACTGACTGAGCCACCCAGGCACCTCTGGAGTTACTTTTTCTACTGGATATAAATGTCTTGTATCTCTCCTGGACAGTATCTACTTGTAATAATCAGCGTCTGAACATGTAATGGTAAATAGCAACATCAAATGTTCATTCCTGCGGGTAATTAAGGCCCCAGGATGGCACTAGCAGGACATGCTACACTCTTGGTCTTATTTCCAGATTTTGGATAATTTTTCTTAACAGTATTCTGCAACTTTTTAGTTTATAGACTTCTTGGAGTAGATAATCTTTATGCTCTGCATTTTTTTTTAAAAAAGATTTTATTTGACAGAGCAAGAACACAAGCAGGGGGGAGAAGCAGGCTCCCCCCCACCCCCCCAAGTAAGGAGCCCAACGCGGGGCTCGATCCCAGGACCCTGGGATCATGACCTGAGCTGAAGGCAGATGCTTAGCTGACTCAGCCACCCAGGCGTGCCTATACTCTTCATTTTCTTAAGATTATAGCATCATAGGCTGCCTTTAAACATCCTTCGGAACATAAATGGAACATCTCTGAACACAGATTTCGGGGGTCAGCAAACTTTTCCTGTAAAGGACCAGATAGTAAATGTTTTACGTTTTGCTAGCCATAAGGTCTCTGTTGCAACTACTCAACACTTCTGTTGTAGTGAAAAAGCAGGCATAGATAATATGTAAACAAATGGGCCTGGGTGTGTTCAAATAAAATTATAGACACTGCAATATTTCATATAATTTCACATAATTTTCATATTTTATGAAAATTGTCTTGGGACACCTGGGTGGCTCAGTCACTTGGGCGTCTGCCTTCGGCTCAGGTCATGAACCCAGGGTCCTGGGATGCAGTCCCGCATCAGGCTCCCTGCTCAGCCGGGAGTCTGCTTCTCCCTCTGCCTGCCGCTCCCCCTGCTTGTGCGCTCTCTCTCTCCGACAAATAAATAAATTAATTAAAAAAAAAAGAAAATCATCTTTTAAATCAAGACAGACATTAACATTACATTATTTTCTCTTTTTAAAATTTATTTATTTGTCAGAGCAAGAGAGCACAAGCAGGGGGAGCGGCAGGCAGAGGGAGAAGCAGACTCCCTGCTGAGGAAGGAGCCTCATATGGGACTCGATCCCAGGACCCTGGGATCATGACCTGAGCCGAAGGCAGATAGATGCCTAACCGACTGAGCCACCCAGGCGTCCCACGTTACATTATTTTCAAGTGTACAACGTAATGATTTGGTATTTGTACCAAATTTGTATTAAAAATGATCACAATAAGTCTAGTTGACATCTGTCACCATACATAGTTAACAAAATTTTTTTTTCTCCTGATGAAAACTTTTAAGAACTACTCTGATTATATGAATTGTACATAATTTTCACGTCATGAAATGTCATTCTTATTTTTTTAACCATTTTAAAATGAAAAAAAAAAACCAAACAAACCAACACACCAGTCTTAGCTCACAGGCCAAATGAAAACAGGTGGTGGGATGTGTTTGGCCTGCAGGACCCCTGCCAAAGAATAATTAAACAAGGTGGTTTCCATTCCAATACCTTCCCCCCCCCCCCACCAGCCCACCACAAGTAATGTTTCAAGGACCACCTGGATAAAGTCGTTTCTCTATTAAAACTCATCTTATCTCACCATGAGAGACGATGGACTCTGAGAAACAAACTGAGGGTTCTAGAGGGGAGGGGGGTGAGGGGATGGGTTAGCCTGGTGATGGGTATTAAAGAGGGCACGTTCTGCATGGAGCCCTGGGTGTTATGCACAAACAATGAATCATGGAACACTTCATCTAAAACTAATGATGTAATGTATGGGGATTAACATAACAATAAAAAATTTTAAAAAAACCTCATCTTATCTCAACTTGAACTTCATTACCTGTCCAATTGAGCGCTGCACCTTGGTGAACACCTGCATCTTGTTGAAATCGGACACCTGAGAATCACCCTCAACATCTCCACCCAGCCCCTCACTCAGCACGGCCCACCAGTCACTGAAGATCTGAAGAGTCGGTCTTCTAAGCACCTATGTGGAGGTGCTTGGGGACTTAAAAAAAAAAAAAAAAAAAAAAAGCAGCAGCAGCTAGGTCTGGGGAAGCCGAGTCTGAAGGCACGCTGACCCGTGTCAGAGGACCGGCCCCGAGAAACACTGTGCTAGAGGCACCGCGAGCACTGTATGCGCCTCTAACCCTCGCAGCCTCCTCGCAGAGTCCTGTGAGGTCAGCACCCCGATATTAGGAATGGGGGAAACTGAGCCGCCACCCAGGTAACGAGCCAATGCCAGGATGTCAGGCACACGCCCTCTGGCTCCACGGCTGACGCTCCGTCCACGGCATCCAGGGACATATTCCGGGGCCTCTGCCTGCGGGCGTGCGGGGTTGGGAGCCAGGACCCGCTTTCCTTCTGGGAAGGAAGCACCCCACCAGTTCCACTCAACCCTTCCGCTCCAGATGCTGGGGGAACCCAGGGCTCTGCCGGAACCTTCCGCTCGGGGAGGAAAGGTACGGGGGAACGCTAGTCTCGAAGGACCCAGGGCTGCAGGGGGACGTTTCAGCTGAAGGACTGACTCGTTACAACAAGAACTTTATGGCTCCCGGAAGTGCCTCCTCCTGGTCCCCTTCCCAGCCACACGCCCGTGGGCTGCAGTTGGAGCGATGGCGGCGGCAGCCGCTGGGCCTGGCCCGGGGTCTGGACCTGGGGACTCTCCGGAGGGGCCCGAGGCTGAGGCCCCGGAGCGTCGGCGGAAGGCGCACGGGATGCTGAAGCTTTACTACGGCCTCTCGGAGGGGGAGACTGCGGGGCGCCC